CTGCTGCTACGGATCATCACACGTGTAAAGGTGCAATCTGTGACATCATCAAGACCAGCTAAGTCAGGCATGATCGCAGTCTTAACAAGTACTAATAAGTAAGTACAAGTTGGAGTGGAGTTAGGAAGGTTAAACTCAGAGTTAGATTTAAAGTTAACCCACGGGAATAGGTACCCACATGGAATTTAGCGCAAAGCCATTTGTTATTCAGGAGACGCCTGTTCCCTTATCTAATCCAGTGTTCAAAACGCACTTGCTACAAGAGCTTCCAGTCAGCTGCTTCTGCTCACAATACACGGACATTTACTTGCTAACATTTGTCTAAAATAGCCCGACGATGTTGCAATTTATTGCATGGAATAAGAGGAGCAGGTTGGTTTTCTCCGTTCCAAATCCTCTTTCAACTCCACTGACAGCAAAATTAGGGTAGGAATTTCCTGTGAGGTCGCTCGAAAAAAAAGTCTCCCGCCCAAGTTTTTTACGGAATTTGCGGTTAAGAGGTAAGTAAAGAGTGGAGCAAGCCAGGGGCCGTTTGGTTGCGGAAAAATGTGAAATAGTAAAGAAATCAAAGACGCTTGTACTTGTTTTACTTAATTGAGCATATAGAAGGATAACCAATGTATTACTGGCAAACGTTAGGACTCTGAGATACGCGTATTTCTGGGTCATTACCCCCTCCATCGGATCAGAGTTACCTGACTCAAGTATAGCCGCAGAAACTGCCGCTACACTCGAGTAAAGTGGAAGTGTCCACAGGTCGCAGGACGAAACAAGCCAGGGTTGGTGAATCCTGAGCGAGATCGGAGTACACCCATGTACTAATATAGAAGCATAGATTGAGGAAGGACAGAAAATACCGAAAAGAAGACCTGCAGACCAAGAAAACCATCAGTACAATTCCTTTTACCCTTTTGCGGCCCCACAAAAAGCCCTACCAACATTTGCCAAAGGTTACTAAAGTAACTTTTTTCCAGCTCAATCCTGCTAGGGAGATAACTCAATAATGTTCGTAAAACGCCTAAAAAGTACATTCGTTGTAAAGAACAGTTCGACTCTGTACTTTTTTTTCGTAAAGATGGCTTATATGCCACTCTCCCTAAACGAAAAATGAGAACAGGAACCGCCCGCGCGAAATACCAGGGAAAATAGGGTAAGGTTTATTCCTATGGTCAGGTTTAATGTTAGAGGTGTAGTTTGGTATTAGGGTTGACGTTAAGCTTCCTTACGCATGACCCTCGAGATTGGCAGAACTGCCATTAACGCTAGCATCCAATGTCGTCAACGAAGCCTCAGCTGCTGGGAACATTAACCGTGTGACTCCAATGAGAAATTATGCACACTAGAAGAACCATTTATTAGTATTTCGCTGACCAAACATCTAAAAAAACGACTGGCGCGACTGGGAGAGCAGTACGAAAAGTTGCTGGCTTCTGGGTCTTATTTTGACTGCCAATATTTTGTTGGGAAAAGCGAACCCTTTACCTACACTTACAGTGACAAAACAGGGAAAAATGTCAGCAGGTGCGATACCAAGTCCTCGGGAAGTGACACGTCGCTCCTTTATGAAAGCCTTCAAAAATTTGCAAGTCCACACCTTGTTTCGCTTGTTTATTTAACGAAAACACCTATTTATCAGGCGTTTGCTCCTCCGACACTTTCGTTTTTTAACTACAGAGTTTCCCCCTCAGATACACAGTACACGTGTATTATGTATCTCCAATACATACTACTAGCTACCTATTAGTCATTTAGTAAATATTAGGCAGTAATCCCACTGTGGCTGACGAACTTTAGTTCAAATATCCATAACTATTTTAGATCTTCGGCTAAAGACCCTACTTTAAAATGATTAATTTACTAAGGAGGAGCTTAAAAATGCGTCAATCCCCGGAATTTCTTGCTTCTTAAAGGGGCGATTATAAGATGAATAGTTAGACTACCTTAAAGCTGACCCTTAAATCTCTTTTCCTGGAGGCAGGCATGCCGGTCAGGCCAGTACCGCAGCAATTAAGACCCAAGCGGTGGATACAGCACTGTAGCAACCTGTGCATGTTTCAACTCTATCTGCGCATGACTATGACTATGATAGCATTACCTATGATTAAGGATTCCCGACGGAATCCGAAACGTCAGGACTGTAAAAATCTTGTTCCAGTGGGCGTTTCTTCTTCTTTTGAACTGCTTTCTGGAACTCGCATATTTACCTCTATTTGCAATCTTGGTTGTCATTTGTTGATGAACGTTCACCGACCGCTAACGGAACTCACATGTCCCACGCTGCCTTGGATCCCATTTCTAGGACC